ACACAGCACCTTATGAGTGACGTTTGATATGGGGTGTAGGTCTCTACCAATGCTTGCCGTACCTTGATCTGGTTTCTCATGCCAGTCTGGCACCTCCACCGTGTAGGAGGACTGTCGGCAGCGTTTGACTGTTTCGCACTATGTCAAAGTTATAAATTTGGAAAAGAGACACTGTGTTAGAAGGTGGGTGCATATCGGTTGCTTCTATTTAGAACCAAAATATGGATTAGTTAGCTTTGCGTTTGAAATCTAATACAGATCAACTTAATGCATCATGTGGCTACGAAGCCAAAGTGGGATTTCTGCTGAGTTGATGCCTCCCACCCAAAGGCTCTTCAGCGATCACTGATAAAGTTAAAATGCTGTTGGAACTTCTCGTTCGGGTAAAAATAGCCAAACGCGTTCATTTATTTCAGTATTGAGTATTATATTCCGTATGGAATAGTCAGAACGAGTTCAGATTCAAGCGTGATTAAACTGCAACGCAGGGAAGCGCAATCAGACATGCAAAGCTGCTTAAAGTGTTCTGGTTTTCTTCTCTATATTGTAGCTGTCATTGCAAAGCGTACGAGACGTCCACTCGTCGCCTGAAGTATGACCTTACATGCACTCATTGGGCCCATCAAAGAGGCAATGCCCACCGGGTGCTTTGTAATTGGACTCTAGGGTATCTTATTTTCTGTTCTTAGCAGCCACTTCGGTATATGTTCAATCGACCGGCTGACACCGTCATGAAGTTGTCCGACATCAATCAATCCCACATATTTCGTTGCCTCTGTCTTGTTTAGATTTTATTCTGGGAAAACAGTGCTTCAGCCATAAGAAATTGCTTGTAGAGAGTTCCATGTGCTCGTTATCTGCTGCAGACGTTAGAAGGACCGACATCAGTGGAGGTCCGCATATCGGACTGTATTTGTCCCCGTCCCGGTTGTTCTACTGACGGAAAGTTTTGCATACTTAGTTAAAGCACTGGCTGTATACGTTTCCCGTTGTAGTTTAGAAACAAAAAATACTCAGGTTAACCTTTTAGCGAGAGGTTTGCATATTAAACATAATGGCCTACTGACTGAATATAAGTAACTATTTTTTATACCTTTAGAGGCAGAGAAGCAAGCAGAAGTGGCAGCTATCGAATGGCGAGCTCGCCTGGCCGCAAAGGAGAACGAGCAAGCCATCAGTGCTATCGAGGATGCTACCAAAAAGGCACGTGCAAAAGCCGAAGCCGACGCAGAGTTCTATCGGGCAGCCCGTCGTGCCGAGGCCGACCAGCTACGCCTGACTCCCACTTATCTAGAGCTGGAAAAGTATCGAGCGTTAGCTCAAAATTCTAAAATCTACTTTACGACGCTGGCTCGTGACCCTCTACTGGTCAAGAGTGGCAGTGCCGATCAGGAATCGTCAGAAGGGTCGTCTTCCTCACTCTTATCCGGCCTCAACACCTCGGACCTCCTTAACACAGTGATGGAGACCGCCTCTTCTGTGGGCAACAGTGACGTGCTGAAGGGTCTTTTGACCGAAGTGCTAACGACCCTGGCTGGAAATTCGGACACGAGAAATGAATCTAATCAGGCAGAATCAGCAGACAATGATTTGGATGAGCCGTGATAGGTCTTTCACCGGCACTTTGACCGGCTGTCGCCTCCATGTTGGCGTTTTCTATTGGGTCTACGTTTGCAATGATTGAATCCCATGCTCCATTTTTTAGCTCGTGTCCTATAAATATATTATTGCCCACTTTGTATTACAATTTGCGCTCTGGACGAGAGATGGAACTTAAAGACTAAACAAACGTGGTCTGAGGTTGATATGCCGTAGCCGTAGACCTGATCCTAATCATTTCAGCATGTTATGGTGTATCGTGTAGTTCATACTCATGGTGTTTGTTACCGAGACTCCAAGAGATGAGTGTTGAGGCTATAACTATAGTTTTACAGTCGCGAATGGGGGAGCATTGGACGGGGTCGGTAAATTGACCAACTAAAATAACACCAAGCGCGTTGTTTTACTAGACTAGCCTTGCGCAATAAGTGTTAACTGACATTTTACAATCGATTTTCTGTTTGAAATTCAAACCTAAGTTAAGTTCTGAAATTTTATTATCGTGCTGCAGCATCGCAAGTTATCAGTCAGGCCGGGATGGCGGTTTTTCATGTTTGCGTATTTCCAACGGCTAACGAATTAGAAATTAGTGAAAACGTCCTAATAAGATTATGCAAATAGCTTTATTATTAATGTGTACCACAGCTGGGCTTACAATAGATTCTTACCGAAATTACCGGATTTGTTTTCTTGTACTCGTTTGACAGCCAATTAAGTCTTCAAATCTTATATTGGAGTGGGTAACTTTCGGTTTTATAAAAGGGAGGGAGTGGAAGTAGGGCAATGCAAAGTGGGTAGAGAGGAGTTTGGGGAGGAAGAGTAGCAGT